AAAGATGATTTAAATACATCCACGCCGCACTTAATAACTTGGTTCCGCTCTAACGACCTAGTCGTTAAATGGGTTGGTCACTAAGTGAAATCTTGTACCTATTTCAGGCAAGCGCTGGCTTACGAACACATCACGTTGGAAGATCTATTCACGTACGATCACCGATGTTAAGCAACGTCGAGCCTGGCCAGTACTAAGATAGGCGATCGCTTTGCAATACTTTGTGCTGTATGCTTGCATATGTGAATGGTGTAATGGATAACGGCTCGAAACTGGAAATTGGAGAGCCGCGTTCCGATTCCAGTCGGGTTCGTTATTGCTACTTATGCGCAATTACTCTTGGGAAAGGTGTGTATCCGCCTCTTCTCCCTCCCCCCAGCAATGGGTTAACGAGTAGGATTTGTATCAGTAATTCATTATAAGCTCAAAAAAAAGAAACTTACAATCGGTCACCCATCTAGGCACTGAAAAACATCGACGTTGCTTAACTTCGGTGATCGTACGAGAACCGATTTTTCAACGGAGGACAAAAGAGATGATAACGTGGATAATATTACTAATATGCCTAGAAGATAGATAGATATGAACAGACTGAGATAGATAGATAGATAGATATGAACAAACTGGGATAGATAGATAGATAGATAGATAGATAGATAGATAGATATGAACAGACTGGGATAGATGGATAGATAGATAGATAGATAGATAGATAGATAGATAGATAGATAGATAGATATGAACAAACTGAGAAGATAGATAGATAGATAGATAGATAGATAGATAGATAGATAGATATGAACAGACTGGGATAGATAGAGATAGATAGATAGATAGATAGATAGATAGATAGATAGATAGATAGATGAATGAACTGGGATAGATAGATAGATAGATAGATAGATAGATAGATAGATATGAACAGACTGGGATAGATAGATAGATAGATAGATAGATAGATAGATAGATAGATAGATAGATAGATAGATAGATATGAACAGACTGGGATAGATAGATAGATAGATAGATAGATAGATAGATAGATAGATAGATAGATAGATAGATGTTCCTTTAATTATGCACTGTATTTATTTAAGTGATCATCAATCCTGAAATTGCTAAATTATTTCTCACAGTATCAAATACGTTATTGTAATTTTTTCTAATAAAACCAGCAATTATTACTCCATATTTATCTTATTTTTATAAGTATATAAAACTTTATTAATATTATTGTGAATAAAAAATGACTTACATAAAAAGATATATGCTATAGAACGAGTATTTCTAGCGATGGTGAAAATATTTTCTAAGTTTCCGTCTATTTTTTTTTTTTATTTCTTGATTGGATCTCTAGTCTTTAATTCTTGATTGGATCTCTAGTTTTCAAAAAAGAAGAACGCGGGAAATTTTTGCACGCCTTTAATATGATAGTAAAATACCAAATTTCGCAAAATTTTACAACTTTTTTTTCTTTTTTTAATAAATTAGTAAGTTTCACTAGTAATCATGTGTTCTGAGTAAAAAAAGGATTGTCAGTCGTCAGGAATTAACGCAAGATTTCCCGCCAAAATAAGTTTATTGTATTTATAAGGTAAATGCGGCAAAGTTGACCATCGTGCACGCAAAAAAAAAGCGAATTATCAAAAGGACGGTTTTTCCATCGACACCGCTATTATTATTTTAACTACCTTCGATCCTTGGCTATTATTTAATATTTTAAAAAGTGATATTTATAATTAGAATAAAACCTAAACATATGATGAAATGGAATTTATACATTTTCCTTTTTCTTGAGAATTAACAACAAAAATTATAAAATGGTAAATAATACATATTTCATTAGAGTCGGTTCATATATTTTAATAATTTAGTGAATGTTTATAAATTTATGAATAAAGTTTTTTTTTTCATATTTATTACTTTATAAATTGGTAAATGATAAATATTGCATTACATTGGTTTTCATTGTATTAGTTTTTAGAATGTTGTAAATATAAAATTATTCTTGTAAAGAAACAATCTAATAAATAAATAGTGTTTAATATTTTTGTTGAAAATTCTCAAAAACTAAAAAAAAAATGTATAAGTTCATTTTCATTATATGTTCAGGTTTCATTGTAATTCTAATCATTGCTTTTTAAAACAACAAACATTGCCGATGGGTGGAGGTGGTTTAAAAATAATAGCGGTGTCATGGGAAAAACCATCTTTTTAATACACCGTTTTTTGGAGGTGGGTGGAGGGCGGTCACTAAGGCCTAGGTTTGGAGTAAATGCATTGTTGCTGATTTCCTGATAGAAATACGTGAGAAATGAGACCAAAAGTAATAATGCCAGACTGCTATAGGGCGGCTAACCAACCCCTGTTGCAGATGCAAGCTCAGGCACATTTGTGTTTATTCCACACCCGCAACTATGCTGAGTGGATCTTAGTTACAGTTGTTGGGAGAGAACGCATTATCTAGGGTGATCAGCAGTTTAAACAAGGCCAGCACGCTCAAAATCTCGGTCACGATGACTTGTGACTTCGTGCTAGCACGACCATCGACGAATAATTACATCTGCCTACGATTGGATGAAGCCGTCGTATGTTTATAAGGCACTTTCCCACGGCGCTACACACTGGCATCGCTTCTCCAGGCTCATAATATCAAGACGTTACCTAACTGATAAATCGACCGTGTAAGATTCATGACCAGAAAGGGAACGCTTTTAACCACTCGGCCATGCACACATATTATATATATATATATATATATATATATATATATATATATATATATATATATATATATATATATATATATATATATATATATGTACACACACACAAGGTGTTACAAAAGGAAATCTCTATTTTATGTATGATGGACTCTCCCGTCTAACTATAATGCATAAAATAAGGAGTTACATTTCAATCGTACTGTATATATATTATGAAATGGACAAAGCCGATAATTATTTTAAGACATTTTTATGTTTAACGTTCTTTTTATAGATACAAATATTTAAGTAAATGCTCTGTTTATAATAAACAGTATTAATAACATTTAACGGCCTGAGAAATTTTCATAGAAAATATTCGTCCTCCGACAGGAGTTGAACCTGTATCCTATACGGAACCATCATAGAGCCTGACGTGCCTTAACCTGTTGAGCCACAGAGGATCGTTCGGTTAGCAAGGTCGATTTTACTGTCTTTAAACTTTTTTAGACATATATATATATATATAAAATTAATGGATTTATTTTTAATCCAACACTTGTATTACTGCTGGAGGACACATTTTCTTTAATATGATTACTGCGCAGGTCGATCGACGTAATACACACAATTTTTAAAAAAATGACGTTTATTTTAAAACGAATGACCACAACAATAACGTTTGAAATAATATATATATATTCTAAAAAGGTATAATATGTCTATGCAGAGCAAGTCAATTAGAGCTGTTCAGCAAACTTGACATATTCGCGGAAGGAATGAGAATAAAATCTATACAGGAAGCAAACCATCTGCATACGGACATGAGTTCAGTAGATATACACAACTAGAAAGGAGTGTGAGACAAGGGTGTGTCTTCTCACCGGATTTATTCAACCTATACAGTGAGTCAGTTCTGAGAGAATTAAAAGTCCTACCAGGGTTAATTATTTGCTGTCACAATCTTAATAGAAAATATGCAGATGACACAGTGCCGAGAGCAAACACGGAAAGAAAACTACAAAACCTCCTACAGAAGGTATCGAAGGAAAGCAAGAAGAATGAACTAACCATAAACTAGAAGAAAACAGAATACCTGGTTATCAGCAAAAGGGTGATGTCAAAATACAAACTTCAGGTCGCAATATCCTAAAAAATAAAACTAGACGATATAACCCTAGACATAGCCAGTGGAACGAGAACAGTCTACCCAAGAGTCTAAAGGTTTCAGTTCAGAATTCCCTGTTGATCAATATACATTTGACGAAGGCCAGGGAGAACAACGGCCGAAAAGTTGTGGTACCGACGACAAAAATGAGAACAACAGTCCGAATATAGATAATGTAGATATTTTAAATGGGTAAACAATTTAGATTTGAAGTTTGATCGTCTTGCATTATTGTATTGGAAACAAAGTTACCCGCACATCCTTTATTAACAACGATATACAAAACTATGCGGGATCTTTGTTTCCAACCCAATAGTGAAAACAAAAGTCAGATTCTCTTGTATTTGTCTGATTCGTGCACTGAACCAATCAAATCGTACTCAGCTAAAAAGCGAACAACATTCAGATATGATTCTTCAAACTGAATTCTTAATATCAGCTTTTACCTTGTTCACAAAACGTGTTAATTTCATCACGGCTTTAGATCATCTCACAAACGCCAGACAGCTGTCAGAATCCGCATTTTAAAACTTACAAAATCTCGCCCATTTCCCGGTTTATAAGAAGAATTTGCTCTGGGTGCCGCAGAAGACGATAATACGTGGATCCTCGCTCTGCTAAAATATATTTCTCTTCAAAATGGCGTCGATATCTCATTGTCTGTATGCAAATGAATATCTCCGTACGCTTGCGTGTCTGTTCAAATATCAAAATGAAAGAAGAAGAAAAAATATTCAGCCCCGTGAGGGTAAAAGTGGGAAAAACCATTTCATACGAACGGAAGAGCTTGATAAAACATTTGCTAAGAGGATTGTATTATGTGACAGAAAGACCTTTTGAATATCATATCAACAAGAAAGTGCGTAGGGCTTGGTGAGGCTGAAAAGATAACTGAACCTTGCCTATAGATAGAATAATGTTAAGTGATGATATTTCTACTTCATAACGAAGTTGACAGCCATTATATATATATATATATATATATATATATATATATATATATATATATATATATATATACACAGATATGTACGATTGTATGAAATTGGATTTACATAAATACGAGAAAATATGCTCAGAAATGTATTTCTGCTGACAAGTAGATATACCTGTAATTATAGGTGTTCTTAGATAGATAGATAGATAGATAGATAGATAGATAGATAATGAACAGACTGAGATAGATAGATAGATAGATAGATAGATAGATAGATAGATAGATAGATAGATAGATAGATGGGCGAATTAGTTATGCAATTTATTCCTCATCAATAACTGCATCTCATAAGCTCGATTTGAAGACTGGCGCAATACAGTTTTCCTAACTATCACTTCCTGTTGGTTATCCAAGTTAATCCATAAAGCTTAACTGAGTTCAATCCCTGAGCCGAGTAGATTCACACTCAGTGAAAATAGGGCGAGAAATGACCAAGCAGTACTGAAAAAATACGTAAATGAAAAAAAAAGAATAACAAAACTGGACGAGGAATCCGTAACGATTCCTTTCCTGAAGGAAAACCGCGGTCGGTACAACGAGAGAAAAGGTTGTAATAATAAACTACAAAGATGAGGATATTAGTCTGAATGGGAATAAGAGGGGGGATGAATGTTTTTGTTTTGGGTTTTTTTATTTCTTTTACTAATATTCACTCTATACAAGGCCTAAGGGCGACTCAAGGTAGAGTCTTACTGAAGGCGATTGTTGTACGAGCAGCAAAATTAAGGTGCGCAGTTAGGCGAACCTGTCTACCCCTATTGGTGAATGAGATAAAAAAAAGAAATATAAAAGAATTTGCATAAATATGAGAAAAATATGCTCAGAAATGTATTTTCTGCTGACAAGTAGTTATACACGTAATCATAGGTGTTCATAGATAGATAGATAGATAGATAGATAGATAGATAGATATGAACAGACATAGATAGATAGATAGAATAGATAGATAGATGGATAGATAGATAGATAGATAGATAGATATGAACAGACTGAGATAGATAGATAGATAGATAGATAGATAGATAGATAGATAGATAGATAGATATGAATATAAGAAAGAAAATGTGTTTGTTTTTTTGTTTCGGGTTTGTTTTTTTGGGTTGTTTTTTTTTTACTAATATTCACTCTATGTAAGGCCTAAGGGTGACTCAAAGTAGAGTCTTACTGAAAGTGCTTGTTGTGCGAGCAGTAAGATTAAGTTGCGCAGTTAGGTGTACCTGTCTAGGAGATAAAAAAAGAATTGGTGCATAAAATTTCAGAGTTCAAGGGAATGTTAGGAGCACAGAGCTGATGCAGACTTTAGAAGGAACTGGAAAGCGAATCCTAACCAGGAAGCAAGAGGGAAAACCACTACTTCTTTTTAAAAGATCGGAGAGGAGCGTGAACCGTACAATAGGCGAACCTATCTACTCCTATTTGTGGGGAAAACAATGTGATAGATAACGATTGACACTAGACTTGAAGTGGTTAAGACTGTAATTACCGGGAAAGCATCCACCTCGGATTCTGTTACACAAAGCAACGGTTTGGGAGAAGAATCTAAGCGACTCTTTAAGGAAATTGCTGTGGTAGGATCCACCTAATTTGCATAGTGGAGTACCGACCATATAAATATGGTTTGTACCGGGAAGACGAGGGGAGGAACCAGAGACTCTGCCCTACTGCGACTCAGTCAACACATTCTCCAGGAACGGTCTTACCAGGAATATACAAATGTAAATATTGTGTACACTTTCTTGTTTCAATACATTTTGTTCTAAGTACATTTTGTGTTGCATTATTATTCCATGCATTAGTCAAGTTTCAACAGAAATATTGGTTGCATAAAATTTTTGAAATTCTAAAATAGCCTTGTCACATAGTGACTTTCATATGGACGCCATACATGGCGTCAATTACGCTCAGAAATATGTAAACTGCCAGCTGTATAGAACCTTTTTCTAAGATCAATGGTTAAAAATGGATTTTGAGCGAGGGAAGACGAAGGATCATGGCGAAGATCATCCTTATTATTATTATTATTATTATTACTACGACTACTACTAAAACCCGAAACGTGTAGTTACTTAATAGAGGTCTTCCTGTTCTAAACTAGCCTCGTCAGATAGTGACTTTCATATGAATGCCATGCATGGCACCAAATACGTTCCGTAATATGTAAATTGTCAGCTGTTGACAACGGCTTTCTTAGATCAATGGTTAAAAAAACGCTTCGAGCGAATAAAACCTGTAGGTCTTATCGAGAACAATAACTTTTCAAACCTTGTGAATTTGGTGCTACATAATCGCAAGCACTTTACCAAATAACAGAAATCACATTACTTGAGCTCATGAACCTTTTTTTCTGGTTATTTAAAGCTGAAACATATTTCAGGTTGTAAGAAGAATCCTGTTTTTTTGTTTTTTTTTTAGAATGGTCAGAGCGTTAACAATTTCTTGATATTAACAATGATTTTTTTTCCAGTTTCTTGGCTTATCCATTTCTCATTCTAAGCTGCTGTCTATTTGAACATCAACACATTCGATCATGAAAGAACTGTGGAAACCGATCGAAGTGATCGATGAATAAGCTCAAACACCCCGAGGAGCACGGATTGCTTTGGTTCTTCCCCGATCCGAACTTTGAGCAAACCGGAACGAACTCGGGGTGGTAGCACCTGTTAGGGTCCCAGCCATGAGCAAATAGTCCGCCTCTCAAACTCGTGTCAAAACACTATGAAATTATAAAAATACATTTTTATAGTAAAAATACCAGCAATACATTTTGGAAAAAAAATTAACTGCAAAAATACGTCAATGAAATCTAATCTATAAAGAAATGTATATTCTATTCATACGAATCTATCCTAAAAATATTGTCGGCATTAAATAACCCGTTGAGGTGTTGGTATGCCGGAAAACAAAATAAACCAAACCGGGACGAACAATAGGTGCTTCTGCGAGGATTCTTTGGGATCGTGAACAAGAAAAGCTATATAATGTCACTCCAGCGTTGCTCACCGGGCCTCAGATTAACGCCAATGCCTACATTGAGGTGCTGATCAAGCCTTTGACCGAGGAAGTGTGTGATCAGGAATTTTCACGGTCATGTCACCCACCAAATATTGTCTTCCAGACCTCCTGGTTTGAATACTCTGGAGCAGGGGTCGGCAACCTTTTTACTAACTCTGTGCCGACTTAGGGTTTTAAAATTATTCAGTGTGCCAACATCATACGTATTTTTTATACAAGTCAAGGTCAATATACCTGTTCTACAATATATTTTATATAGTAATATATAGTATATATACTTTTGTATATATTAAAATTGAAACAGCTAAATATCTTCTCTGAGTTGTAGTAATTATTTGTTCAGACTTCGTGATGTCATTTGCGGCTGCGTGCCATTGCAAATTGATTTGGTGCCACGTGTGCCACACGTGCTGTAGGTTGCTGACCCCTGCTCTGGAGTATGTGTGGGGCGTCATCGAGAGACAGGGAGGGAGAGATCAACGTAGGGTCTTCCGACCAATGACGCCACTTACACCGAGGTACTGGTCAAACACTAGATATATAGAATGCGACAAATATTTGGGAACAAATGTAGAGGGACAAAAAGAGAACCTAACGCCATGTTACGCAGCATGCGCCAAATTTCACATTCTCTTTTCTATCCAGTTTAAAGAGAACATTAAGATGGCAGTTTTGAATCTGACATAAAAAAAAATTAGTTCTCATGACAGTAGGCCCTCCTCCCACTTGAAATTAATTAAGTGCTTTCGTGTTTAAGATTAGGTTTGGTTTGAGGATTCTTGGCAGGAATCTGCCAGTAGAGATCAATCCTCGGTATGAAGATGAACTACATCAGGCAGCAAGGCCGCTGATCGAGAGATTGGATCTTTTGAGGAACGTCGAACCACCTCTTAATTGCTGTTGTTCCTAGGTCCACCCTGGCCCGGGGTAGTAGCCATGGGTAAATATTGAAATCCCAAACAAAAACAACAGACTATGAAAGCATAAAAATACATTTCTATTGTAAAAATGTTAGTAATACATATTTATATGAAAATACCAGCAATTATAGTTAAAATACCAAAAAGGCATAATTATAGTAAAATTACTAATAAGCCATTCATAAGAATGGATTGTTAGTAATTTTCTATTGTAAAAATACCAGCAATACATATTCTAGTAAAATCACCTACAATACCTACTTATACTTATAGCAAAATTACCAGCAATACTTTTTATAACAGAATTACCACCAATATATTTTATCTGCAGTTGAAGGCATGCATTTGCGTTCAAAATATATTTAGTCGAAGCTATAAAACTGTGTTCAAAATATTTCAATTAAATTTCGGCATTAAATGACCCATAAGGAGTTGATATGCCGTTAAACAAACAAATCGATCGATAGAGGCAAAAAGAACAAAAAACTCCCCAAAAATGTTCTAAATAGTCATTCTTAGTAAGGATGACCGAGGTCGTTCTGTAGGTTACGACACAACACCAATCAATAATTAAGGAAATCGAGGAGAGCCATAATCAAACAGCTTGAAAGTCTACTATCAAACATGGTGCACGAGAAAATCAGCTAGATTTCCTACGTGATAAGAAGAGTGCAATTCACGCTCATCCTGGGTATGACGATAAACTACATCCGGCAGTAAGGCTTCTGATCGGGAGTTTGGATTGTTTGAAGGGCGTGTAAGCACCACTTAATTGGTGTTGTTCTCGGGTTGGTAGCACTTGTTATGGTCCAAGCTATGGGCAAACAGTGAATCCCCAAACAAAAACAAAGCACTATGAAGATACATTTTTATATTAAAAATACCGGCAATACATTTTTATATAGAAAATTGCCAACGATACATATTTAGAGTAAATGATCAATAATAGATTTTTTCTGTATTTGAAGCCAAAAAACTGTGTTCAAAATATTTAGATTTCGCCATAGATAACCCATAGAGGTGTTGATATGTCACTAAACAAAATCAACCTACCAAACAACCAACATGAAAACTCTTTCATAAAAATTAATCCATATCATATCCTACAAATTCTTAAAGAAATCAAACTGTATTCCAAAATATAACTTCAACAAAATTACAACATAAAACACACATATCACCGGCTCTAGTAATTTTGCCCACAGAAATATATATATGTATGCAAAAAAGTTGAGTATCATCTACCATGTATTCAATTGTGAAAGCAGAATAACATATTCTTTATTACTTTAAAGCTCCCAAGAAAATTAAACTTCGACATTAAATAACCCATAAGCAGTTGGTATCCTGATAAACAATCAACAAACTATGGGAGCGGGGTCATGTGAAAGACGGCTATCGGTCCACTATCAGATATATGGAAGACGTGAAAATTAGGTCCTGAATGATGAGGAGAGAGCAGTTCAAATTCGATAAACTAAGAGGCAACCGGGGGAAAGATGGCGGATTCCACACTCAGATATGTGGAATTTTCTATGTATTTTTTACAATGATGTTCACTCTATACAAAGCCTTAGAGTCAGTCGATGTAATAGGTTATAAAGACACAGTTTATAGGGATATGTGGGAAATATAACTCTAGATTTGAACATGTTAAGATTGCAGTGATCGAAAAAGCATCCTCTTGGGAGTCGGTACCACCAAGCGGCAGTTCGTGAGAAGAAGCTGCTCGACTGGAACTTACATCTCACCAGGGGAATACGAAGAGAATGAGGGGGGGGGTCCCTACAATGTGAATGGCATGGCGGGTCTTAGTTGTGAAGGTAAGAACTGGTGGAACGTTTTGTCTGTGAGAACTCCGGATAGCCAGGCTAAATTACTACACATAAAATGGAGGAACAATTTTTTTATTGTTATTAAGTAATAAACTGATCCCCCAATAATTACTACATGTTAATATAGTATTTAATGGACCACATTTGAGAAACTTCTAATAACTGGCTTACGGCCATATCACGTTGAAACGCCGATTCCCGTACGATGACCGACGTTGAGCCCTAAGTGGGTGACCGCTTAGGAATACCAGGGGATGTAAGCTTGAATGCGAATGCAATGAGGCTGGTTCGCTAACGTTAGAACTGGTGGGACTAAGGAATGTAGTTCGTTTGAACACAGTCCATCGAAAAAGAGATAGAACAGCGGACGTTTAGACTGTGGGAAAGAGGTTGTAGGATGGAAAATAATTCATCACTCACAAGGGCGCGGAGTTACTTTTGCACTCTATAAAGACTGAAAAGTGTTGACTTGGGCAGCTCCTGCCTATATATGGCAGCAGTACACCATTTTCGTCCTAACATGAAAATTAGGGCCAAATTCTACGCGATGAGAGTGCAGTTTATACTCGACAAACTATGAATGAACCGAGGCAAAGACGGAAGAGTTCACTATCAGATATGTGAAATACGTGAGCATTAAGTCCAAGTACCAGAATGAATCTTAAATACGCACATGTTACACCGTAAGGAACGCGATATTTCATGCCCAGAATGTTATCAAAAAGAGCGATACAGATGCAGAAGGACGTGTTCCTATGTTTCATAGACTACGCAATGGCCTTTGACAAAGTATGCCACAAGTATCCGATGGAACTGCTGAGCAACCTTGATATATTTGGGAAAGATATCAGAATAATCAAGAACCTATACTGGCCGCAAACAGCATGCATATGCATAGTTCAGTGAATATACAAAAATAGAAAAGAGCGTAAAGGAAGGGATGCGTCTTTTCACCCGACCTGTTCAACCTATACAGCAAGGCAATCCTGAGAGCATTGTAAAACCTACCAGGATTTAGCATTGGTGGCCACAATCTGTAGGAGATTTTGTAATTTCATTTCTGTCTCTGCTATTAGTACTGTGTCATCTGCATGTCTTATGTTGTTACAACATAAGACATGCAGATGACACAATACTAATAGCAGACAGAAATGAAATTACAAAATCTCCTACAGAAGGTAGCGACAAAGAGTGAGAAGAAAGGACTAATCACAAACTACAAGACAGAATGCATGGTCATCAGTAAGAGGAAGGGCTCGAAATATGATTTGCAGGTTGAGAACACTAGAATCAAGCAGACATGGAAATTTAAATATCTGGAAAGCGTCTTGACAGAGGACGGTAAGTGCGACACTGATATCCGTAGATGTACTGGAATGGCCAAAGACACATTCCAAGAGCTGGCCATAGTATAGTGAGAAAGGAGGATTTCTTTGGTAACAAAGAAAAGAATACTGAGCTGTTATATGACATCTGTCCTTCTTTGTGGCAGCAAATGTTGGACAATTTTCTCAAAGATGAAGAAGAGACTCGAGGCAACAGAGATGTGGTTCTACAGAAGGATGCTAAGGATATCTTGGACCGAGCGTGTGAGATCTTAGAGAGGTTGCAAATAAAGAGGAGGCTTATACTTAATATCTGGAAGACGCAGCTGAAGTTTCTGGGACATATAATGAGGAAGGAGGGCCTGGAGATTCTCATACTCACGGATCGAATTGAGGGAAAGAAAGACAAAGGAAAACAACGAGTGATATAACCTGGCGGACTTAAGCAAGTGGATGACAGAACATGGTCTGTGGGAAGAAGCAGAAGGAAGGAACTTGTAGAGGGAGGTGGAGAGCCATGATCGCCTACGTCCTGAAATGACATGGCACATAAAAAGAAAGAGAGGTTCAAGTCCTACTCAAGTCCTACATGATGAGGAGAGAGCAGTTCATACTCGACAAACCATGGGCGAGCTGCGTAATTAAAGTGCTTATAAAATAAGCTCAAACATTTCCAATGAGACGAAATTCGGTGACGACTAGACAGGAAAAATTAATGACAAGCGTTACGGAGGTAACCACGCCAAGCGCATGCCCTCCATGAAAATTCTGTGGGTCATATGGCAACCAGGGCCATATCATATCATTCCATTTCCTCCCGCAGAGCGTCAGAGTTCGTGCTATTTAGTAAAAAAGTAAAGCCGGCTCAAAGACAACTGAATCTTCTTCTGCGTACCGTTTTCCTTCATGGCTCTCCACAACTTCCTGTCCTTTGTAGCTCTTATTAAGACTTGTCTATTCACCATCGCTCCCAGTCCCTACTCTGTCATTCATTAACATTTTCCTTCTGTCTCTCTTGACTTAAATATGTCCTGTGAGTGTCAAATTATCTAAGCCATCTTTCCTTATTATGTCTTTTAGAAAAAATTCAACTTTCTGATTCTTAGTATATGCGTCTTTTTGGCTTACATTTTTCTTAAAACTTCCTCGTTACTTACATGTTTAGTCCATGATATTCTCAGCATCCTTCTGTAGAACCACATTTTTGTTACCTTAAATCTCTGTTTCATCTGCAAAGAGATTTTCTAACATGTGCCATATAACATATGGCATATAGGAAGACTGATATAACATAGCATTTCAACATTCTTTTCTTTGTTTCTTACAAAATGTTCCTTTTTCTTAATACTTTGCTTAGCTTTTGAAAGGTAACTTTCGCGATTTCAATGCGACTTCAAAATTCGCTATCACATTTTCTGTCGTCTGTTAAAAAACTTGCCACATATTTTAATTTTCTTCCTTGATTTCGGTATCTGGCGTCTTGGAATGTTCCTCTTGCTGACCAAGATACATTGCATTTACATGCAACTAATGTTTATTTATTTCTTCACACTTTCTTTTACGACTTTTTCTAGGAGTTAAGTAAAGCGAGAATCCAATAAGCTTCTTTTTTTTTCTAGGGTAGAGATCTAAAAGAAAACGGAAGATTACAATCAAACAGAAGTTCCAATCCATTTTTTAAGAATTCTTTTTTGTCTTTTTCTATAAATATTGCCATGGCAATTGTTGTAATGAACTCTCCTCATTGGGGTTTCATTTTTTTTATTTCAAACTTCTTGGACAGAAAAACTGTACATATGGGAACTAGTTAGGCCCACATAGAGACTTCGAGGTATTATGGTGACTGCAGTAAGAATGGTAAGTAAGAATGCGTCGTTTTGGTGTAAGGAATACTGTAGTATGTTTGGGTCAGTAATTGTGGCTAGCTAAGTTTAAGATGAGGCAGATTGAAGACTAGCCTTCCCCTATCCCTCCCTTTGACCTTGTGCCACATTTCTGTATGACTCAAAATAAATATTACTCTCCTCCTAGATACCGATTTTTAATTGGCATTTTGGGCTCATCTTTTTGCTAATAACCATGCAATCTGTCTTCTTACAATTTATGATTATTCCTTTCTTTTGCTTTCACTGTCTTCTGTAGTCTGTTACCGACACAATGTCATCTGTATATCTCATGTTGTTAAGATTGTGGCCGCCAATACTGAATCCTAGTAGGGCCTCTAATTCTCTCAAAATTACCTCGCTGTTTAGGTTGAATAAATCCGGTGAGAAGACAGATCCTTTCTAGTGAATTCCAGACTTGAAGCAATAGAAATATGGTTCTGCAGAAGGATGCTGAGAATACCATGGACCGAACATGTGAGCAACAATGACATTTTGAAGAAAATGGAAACAAAAAGAAAATTTATACGTAACATCAGGAAGAGGCAGTTAAAATTTCTGGGGCATATGGTGAGGAAGGAGGGCTTGGAAAATTTGATACTCACAGGACAGATTGAGGGCAATAGGGGAATAGGAAACCATCGCATATTATGGATCACGAGCTTGAGTAAATGGATGCCGCAACAGGGTTTAGTAATAACGAAAATGCAGAATTTATTTAGAGCTACAAGAGACAGGAAATTGTGGAGAACCATGATCGCCTACGTCCAGAAGGGACACGGCACATAAGGAAAAAGAAGTGGGAGTGACTTCTCACAGACGTAACATTGTAGGCGTATCGCTACTCTAATCGCACTTCAATGTTTCGTCTGTGAGGAAAGAGGTTGTACGGTGGAAAATAATTCATCACCCACAAGGCTGCTTAAACATTTCAGAACTCTGTTAAGGCCGGAAAGTTGGAGTTAGGGATATCCAGCCCAGATATGGTAGTAATAAACCATTGTAAACCTGAACAGACTCTTGAAAAAGTTAGGATATAGTAGAAGAGGTCAGGTGATCTGTGGGGAAGTATAAAAACCGGCAATGTTTCCAGCAGTGTTCAAAATTTCTAAGCCGTCTATGTGTCAACAGTCTAGATAGCTAGATAGATAGATATGATCAGACTGAGATAGATAGATAGATAGATAGATAGATAGATAGATAGATAGATAGATAGATAGATAGAACAGATAGATAGATAGATATGAACAGACTGAGATAGATAGATAGACAGATGAGATAGATAGATAGATAGATAGATAGATAGATAGATAGATAGATATGAACAGACTGAGATAGATAGATATGAACAGACTGAGATAGATAGATAGATAGATAGATAGATAGATAGATAGATAGATAGATAGATAGATATGAACAGACTGGGATAGATAGATAGATAGATAGATAGATAGATAGATAGATAGATATGAACAGACTGGGATAGATAGATAGATAGATAGATAGATAGATAGATAGATAGATAGATAGATAACCAACGAAATAGAATTACAGTAAAAACAGAAAGAGGTGATGAAGAAGGCAGAACTGAAGCAGAAGAAAAAGAAAAAGAAGATCATAGGAAAGAAATAAGAAAGGATAATCAGAGAAGAAAGAAAGAAAGAAAGAAAGAAAGAAAGAATAATATAACTTATAAAAATGAGAGAAAGAAAATTAGCAAAGAAAGAAATGGTAAAGAAACAAACAAAGTGTAATAAGAAAAAAGATGGATAATCAGAGAAGACATAAAGAAAAATAAGGAAAGAAAGACAGACAGACAGAAATAAGAAAGAAAGAAAGAAAGAGTAATAAGAAAAAAGAAAGGATAATCAGAAAAGAAAGAAAGAAAGAAAGAAAGAAAGAATAACTTATAAAAATTAAAGAAACAAAATTACCCAGGAAAGAATTGGTAAAGAAAGAAAGAATCAAACAAAGAGTAATAAGAAAAAAAGAAAGGCTAATCAGAGAAAAAAGAAAGAAAACGGAAAAGAAAGAAAGAAAGAAAGAAAGAAAACGGAAAAGAAAGAAAACGGAAAAGAAAGAAAGAAAACGGGAAAAAAAAGAATAAAAGAAAGAATGAAAACGGAAAAGAAAGAAAGAAAACAGAAAAGAAAGAAAGAAAGAAAGAAAGAAAGAAAGAAAACGGAAAAGAAAACGGAAAAGAAAGAAAGAAAGAAAGAAAGAAAGAAAGACTGATTAATCATGGAAACAATGAGTAAATAAAAAAGAAACAAGCACTAATATTCAAGCGATCTAGTCAAGAAAGAACCAACAGACATAAAAGTAAATAAGAGAAAATTAAAAGAAGAAACAAGTTAGCTTTAAAAGGAAACAAATAATATTGAAAAACAAAGAAACAAAACCAAGGCGAGTATCAGTAAAAGAAGCCAAGATGAACCTCAGAAGAATGAAAAGAGAAGAATTGGTTAGAAAGGAAAAGACTATAAAAAGATGTAAGCGAAAAGGTCTTTGCGATCTTCACATCACTGAAGACCTCATAAGAAAATGACATGGAGGTGTTCTAAATCCTTTACAAGCAGATTATCCACCTTTAGCTACAAAGATTATCTCCGCTCTGTTAGCGAAGCGGCAAAGTGGTTTTGATAGTAGCAGTAATATTTCTGGAATGGGGTGGTCGGTAAGGCCTTTTGACACAAGAAACGCAAAGATAGGGGGCGGGGGAGAAGGATGGCCCCTCCATACAGTGAGCTGAACTCAAAACACCCGGGAAGATGCGAAAGCAATGTCTGTAAGTGGCGGCAAATCTGCTTTCAATAAAGTGGGATTGAATGGTGTGGTTACTCGCACAGATTCATGGGATAGCATCAGGAGGGAAAGCAGAAGAAGAAGAAGAAGAAGAAGAATTCCCTAGGGAGAAAGAGAGAAAGAAAGAAAGAAAGAAAGAAAGAAAGAAAGAACGATAACGATAAGATTGATAAAAAAAAATTCAGAAAGAAAAGAACATTGGAAAGAAGAAGAAAATTAATGGTTAGATGGGTAAATTCCAGAGGAATTTTAAGAAAAGAAAGAAAGAAAGAAAGAAAAGAAAGAAAGAAAGAAAGAAAGAAAGAAAGAAAAACAATACGGGAAGGAAGATATAGAAAACTAGTTAGAAAGAAAAATATACGAAGAATATATTGAAAGGAACAAACAAAAAAGATTACCAAGAAAAGTTCGGAGAAGAAAGAAAGAAAGAAAGAAAGAAAGAAAGAAAGAAAGAAAGAAAGAAAGAAAGAAAGGGTTAAAAAAAAGAATTTAATGAGAAATTGAAAGGCAAATGGAGAGGAAAGTAACGAGTTTTTTTCTACATCAATAAACAGTAAATGAATGAAGAAAAGACGAAAAGTGATGTCAGGTTGGATGAAAGAGAAGAAAAGAAAAAATAGAACCAAGAAAAACAATCTCAAGAAAAAAAATATTGAAAGAAAGAAAGAAAGAAAGAAAGAAAGAAAGAAAGAAAGAAAGAAAGATTACCAAGAAAAACAATGCGGAGAAAGAAAGAAAGAAAGAAAGAAAGAAAGAAAGAAAGAAAGAAAGAAAGATTACCAAGAAAAACAATGCGAAGAAAGAAAGAAAGAAAGAAAGAAAGAAAGAAAGAAAGAAAGAAAGATTACCA